GATTCTCATTTTCTAATAGTTAAAACCCTATTTTGGCATCATAACTTAAACAAATACCTATTTTTAGTCTCTTTACTTAAAAAGAAACTCATTTTTAACCCTAAAGTTTATTATTCGACTCCTTTTTAGTCTCTCCATTATCTTTTTACACACATGACACATTATATGATAAAAATTTCAAAAGGATTAAAAAGGGTTTTTTTTCAAGTAGAGAGACTCAAAATGAGCTTTTTTAGTTCCTTTTTAGTCTCTCTACTTTAAAATTTCCATTATTTAACATATCACATGTATAAAAAGATAATGAATTGACTAAAAAAGGGCTGAATGATAAATTTTAGGGATTAAAAAAGATTTTTCATAAGTAGAGGGACTAAAAAAAGTTTTTTTTTTGTTAAAATAGAGAGACCAAAATGAGGTTTTAATCTTTTCCAATTCTTACAAGCTCAACACCCTATTTATGATTTTTCTTGGATTTTATATGCCCTTCCAATCAATTTTAATAGGTGTAGTTAAATAAGAATGTAATGATTAATCGATAAAATTTAATATTTATTCTTAATAAATTCCTATTTAAATGTGCTTTCTTATTTAATTATATTTTTTTTTATTTTATCAAAATAGGGATAAAATATGAATAAGCACGTTAAATAACATTTTAGAAAGAAATAATAGATAACTAAATTTGAAAACTCCAAATTCAAAATTAGATCTACTAAAATTAATGGTTAAACCCTCTTTTTGGTCCCTCAACTATTGTATGGACCCTCGATTGAGTCCCTCAACTCAAAAAAATCCTTAATTTGATCCTTACTATTTACCATTCTATCCCTAACTTTGTCCTTCCATTACAAATCTCATGATGTGCCCTATTAATTCACAGTTACATGATGATATGTTAAAATATTAATACACGTGAGAAAACAACATGACAAACAAAATAATGACATGGAAAAAAATAATAATATGACAAAAAACACTTAAAAAATTCTTCTTCTTCTTTTATTCCTTCTCTTTCTCTTTCTCCTTCCCCTTGGAGCCCAACGACTGTTGCATTTGATAGAACCCAACAACCGCTGCTGGGTTTGACGGAACCCAATAGTCGCCATTGGGTTCTAAGGAATCCAGGCACTAGGTTCCTTCAAACCCAACACGCCTTGGGTCTTTTGAACCCATGAGTAAAAGATAAAAATAAAAAATTCTTTTTTTTTTTTTGTGAGTTTTGTTGTTTAATGATGATGAAGAATTGATTGATAAAGAAGGCAAGGCAAGGAAGAAGAAGGAGAAAGAAAGGGCGCCTATTGGGTTTGATTAAATCCAGGCATTGGGTTCTTTCGAATTCAAGTGTGCTGGGTTCATAGGAACCTAGGGGCAAAAAATTAAAAAAAAAAAGGTTCAATTTTTTTTGTGGGTTTTGTTATTTGATGATGATCAAATCAAAATTTTTTTAGAGTTTAAAGACTCAATCGGGGTCCATACAATAGTTGAGGGATCAAAAAGGGGGTTTAACCTTATAAAGAGAGTAGTTTTCATTATTTGTTATAAAAGAACTTGACTACACAAATATAAGCATTTGGACTTAAGTGAAAATATTTTGAAAGTTGAAGGACTATGTTGCAAGAAGAAAAGTTGCAATCATTGACCTAAATGAATGAATTCGAGGTTTAAGTACTAAAGTGTTCGTAAAGTAGAAGGACACAAATGCGCCATTTTACCATTGAAGAAATTGAGTTAAAATATCAATTTGGTCTCTTAACTTTTGGATTTGTACCAAAATTGTTCATCAACTCCAAAAAATACTAAAGTTGTCTATAAAATTTGATTTTTAATACTAAAAAAGTCATTCATTAACAAAAATGTCACGTAACTTATTATTTTGTCATAAAATTAATTTTTTTAAATATTAATAACATATAAAATCAAATAATCATATTTTACTCTGTGATATATTTCTATTTACAAATTAGATTAATATGTAATTAAAGTTAAA